ATATGCTATCCAGGTTTTATAACTTTCCTTCCAAGCAGTAAGCGTCTTTTAATTTCATNGGTTCCTCTGCCTTTTCTAAAACCAGCTTGAACATCTGGAATTTCACAGTTCACGTATTGCTGAAGCCTGGCTTGGAGAATTTTGAGCATTACTTTACTAGCATGTGAGATGAGTGCAGTTGTGCAGTAGTTCGAGCATTCTTTGGCATTGTCTTTCTTTGGGATTGGAATGAAAACTGACCTTTTCCAGTCCTGTGGCCCCTGCTGAGTTTCCCAAATTTGCTGGCATATTGAGTGCAGCACTTTCACAGCATCATCTTTCAGGATTTGAAGTAGCTCAACTGGAATTCCATCACCTCTACTAGCTTTGTTCCTAGTGATGCTTCCTAAGGCCCACTTCACTTCACATTCCAGGATGTCTGGCTCTACGTTAGTGATCACACCATTGTGATTATCTGGGTCATGAAGATCTTTTTTGTACAGTTCTTCTGTATATTCTTGCCACCTCTTCTTAATATCTTCTGCTCCTGTTAGGTCCATACCATTTCTGTCCTTTATCGAGCCCATCTTTGCATGAAATGTTCCCTTGGTATCTCTAATTTTCTTGAAGAGATTTGTGGTTAGTGTTAGATATTTTAAAATGGCATCATTATCTACTTTACACTCTAATGGTTCAGATCATATACATAACAACATCTGCTAATTATTTCTGCATATTAAGTTTTCTATGCCAATGCCTTACCAAATTATCTCACTTTATAGTAGTTCCTCAGTTGATTTTCTTAGGTTTTCCATATATACAATTATATCATCTATCAATAGCAATGTTTATTATACCCCAATTATTTCTCTTTTATCTAACATAGTCTATGGGTCCCAGAATATAAATCCCATAAATTCAAAGACTTTTGCTACTTTGTTATCTGCTCTGTTGCAAAGAAGGACATGAAATAGTGCTTGGCACAGAGTATATGCCCGCTAAATATCTGAATTAAGTGAACTGCATAGTCTAGCAACTCCAGTATAATGCCCAGTAACAGTACTGAGAGTGAGCACCTGTTCTTGTTCTTGACTTCAGTGGGAATGTCTGATTCAAATGTAGTATTATTTAATTTTAAGTAAGTACCTATTCCTATTCTTTTGAGCATTTTTATCTGAAATGGTTTTTCTAAAAATTAATTTATTTATTTTAATTGGAGGCTAATTACTTTACAATGTTGTGGTGGTTTTTGCCATACATTGATAAGAGTCAGCCATGGGTGTACATGTGTCCCCCGTCCTGAACCCACCTGCCTCTGCAACCCATCTCTGAGTTGTCCCAGTGCACCAGCCCTGAGTGCCCTGTTTCATGCATCGAACTTGGACTGGTGATCTGTTTCACATATGGTAATATACATGTTTCAATGCTAGTTTCTCAAATATCCCATCCTCGCCTTCCCCCACAGAGTCCAAAAATCTGTTCTTCATATCTGTGTCTCTTTTGCTGTCTCGCATATAGGGTCGTCATTACTATCTTTCTAAATTCCATATATATGTGTTAATATACTGTATTGGTGTTTTTCTTTCTGACTTACTTTGCTCTGTATAATAGGAGGCTCCGGTTTCACCCTCATTAGAACTGATTCAAATGTGTTCTTTTTAATAGCTGAGTAATATACCATTGTGTATATGTACCACAGCTTTCTTATCCATTCATCTNTTCTTTGACCCATTTTTTGATTGGGTCGTTTATTTTTCTGGTATTGAGCTGCATGAGCTGTTTGTGTATTTTTGGGATTAAGTCTTTGTCAGTTGCTTCATTTGCTATTTTTTTCTCCCATTCTGAAGGCTGTCTCTTCACTTTGCTTATAGTTTCCTTTGTTTTGTAGTTTCCTTCTTTCAAGGAAACTATCCAAGTCTTTCCCCTTTTCTAAAAAAGGGTTGTTTGTCTGCTTAACAAACTGAGTTTTTTGAGTTGTTTGTATATTTGTGCGTAGAAGTCCTTTATCACATACATGGTTTGCAAATTTTCTTTCTCAACTTGTAGCTTACCTTTTCCTTTAGCTTTATAGTGTCTTTTGATGTGCAAAAGGTAATACAAATCCAGTTTACCAGTTGTCTTCTTTTATGGTTTGCTGATTTGGTGTTGTGTAAGACTTCTCTGCTTAACCCAAGGTCATGAGAAATTCCTCATGTGTTTTCTGAAGACTGTGTGTATATAGATACAGACAGATAAGGATATGACTTTTTTTTAAGAGCAGTTTTAGATTCCCAGCAACATTGAGTGGGAAGTGCAGTAGGGATACTGAGAGAGTCAATTCCTAGGCAGGTTGATGAGAAGTCCAGGGTTCCCCCACCAGACACCCACTGACCCTGAGGAGGAGAAAGGGGTCTGAGGCTCTCAAGGAGAAAAGGACAAACATTTTTTTCTACATTGGTTTGTCTTAGTCAATATAACAATGTATCTCAGGGATATGTTTCTCCTTAAAAGAACCTTCTGACTAATCTTGTTATCTTAAGATGCATGTTGTGGGAGTGGGTCTGGTAAAAGTATAAGGCCTTAATAAGACTAGCTAGGGGTTACTCTCCATCCCCCTTCCGATGTCTATGTCAGAAGCTTTCTCTCTCCCTTTTCAGACTTGAATAAAACTGCTACACAAAAGCTCTTGAGTGATCAAGCCTGGTCTCTGGTCCTGAAGCTAAATTATTCTTCAGAGATCATGAATCTGACACCATTCACCATAAGCTATGAATACCATACCTCTGTGCCCCAACATATGCAACCTTCTCCACTTATCAGCTTCCTGCCCCAGAGTGGTGAATTTGTTATAGTCAATATACATACTGACTCATCACTCAAAATAAATAATTCGCCTTAGGGTTCACTCTTGGTGTTATATGTTGTTTGTGTCTTGACAAATGTAATAAAATGACATGTTTCCACCCTTTAGTGTTATACAGAATAATTGTACTGCTCTAAAAAGCCCTCTGGATTCTGCTTGTTCATCCTACCTTTCCCTCCAACTCTTGGCAGACACTGATCTTTTTATTGTCTTCTTAGCTTTGCCTTTTCCAGAATGTCATTTACAGTAATTGGAATTGTATAGTGAATAGCCTCTTTAGATTGGCTTCTTTCACTTAATAATAGGTGATTTTAGGTCCTTCCTTGTTTTTTAATTTTTAATTAATTTAATTTAATTAATTTTTAATTTTAGGCCCTTCCTTGTTTTTTCATGGTTTGATAGCTGATTTCTTAGTGCTAAATAATGTTCATTCATTGGATGGATAAGTCTGCTATATATACCTATGATCCAGTTTCTGTCCAGACATAAATTTTCAGAGTATATATATAGTTTTGTAAGAAACTGCCAAACTGTCTACCAGAGTGGCTGTAACATTTTGGCTTCCCATAAGCAATAAATCTGTTGCTTCCTGTATTTGATGTAGTCATTATTTTGAATTTTGGTTATTCTAATAGGTAGGTAATGGTATCTCATTGTTCTTTAATTTGTTGTTCTTAATTACATATGATGTAATTTCCCAGTTACACATGTTTTCATTTGCTTATTTGCTATCTGTGTATCTCCTTTGGTAAGGTGTCAATTCAGGTCTTTTGCCTATCTTTGTGTTTTCTTATTGCTGAGTTTTTAAGAGTTCTTTATATATTTTGGATAGCAGTCCTTTATCAGATATGTCTTTTGCAAATACTTTCTCCCAGCTTGTGGCTTGTTTCTCAATTTCTGGAAGTAGTTTGTATTTTTAGCTATTACATTTAAATTTATTATCTATTATTATTTAATTGGAGTTGGATATTCAGTTGTTCCAGTATATTTGTTGGAAAGACCATCTTTTTCCTCATTGCTTTAATCTTGCACCTTTGTTGAAAATCATCTGACTGTGTTCTTGTTACCGTTCAGTGGCTAAGAAGTGTCCAACTCTTTGCAACCCCATGGGCTATAGCCCACCAGACTCCTCTGTCCTCCAATAGCTCCCGGAGTTTGCTCACATTCATGTCCATTGAGTTGGTGATGCTGTCTAACCATCTCATCCTCTGTCACCCCCTACTCCTNAAATCTGTCGCTGCTTCCACTTTTCCCCCTTCTATTTGTCCTAAAGTGGTGGGACTGGGTGCCATGATGTTAGTTTTTTTAATTTTGAGTGAAAAAGCCAGCTTTTTTCACTCTTCTTTTTCACCCTCATCTAGAGGCTCTTTAGTTCCTCTTCCCTTTCTGCCATTAGAGTGGTATCATCTGCATATCTGAAGTTGTTGATATTTCTCCTAGCAATCTTGATTCCAGCTAGTGGTTCATCCAGCCTGGCATTTATCACCATGGGTTTAAAGTAAACGTTGAACTAAATTAGTATAAACATTCACCATAATTAGCATAGCATATTCTAATTCACACCGTAAGCATTCATCACATGATTAGCATAGACTGTATGGCCCTAGCCTCTCAGGTAAGCAAAGCCATTCTTAATCAGGCCTGACATTCTGAGGGCTTAGAGGTTTCTTCCCAGAAACTAAGGGCAAAGCTCAACCTCTGTTGGGCAAGGTTAATCCTTTTAATACACAAAGAGAAGTAAGACAACCTTAAAGATCAACTTCGTGCTATCCTCTTCAAACTGAGGTATGTGCGCCCAATGAGCATATAATTTTTGGAGTGGTGCAAGGGTACACATGCATTTTAAAGATGGAGTGTCCAGATTCTTGGAACCTTCTGTGTGTTCTCTTCCATAAACTTGATCTGCCCTGAGCTTTCATCAGGCTCTGAGGCATCATGCTCCGCTTATGCTTTCCCTCTTCCCCTTTAATATTCATGCTACTTCTTCTTTACAAAAGAAAACCACACCTTTCACACATTGTTTTTTTGCCTCAGATTATGAAAGCCTCTAGGTTATCAAATAAAGGAACAGCTGGAAATACTGAGGTCCCTTATTTAAGGATAAGTGCATATTGACAGTGACAGTGTTTGGGCTGAGAGGAAATGTACACTCAAAGTCAGTTTGCTTTTCAACCCACAGGTCCAGACTCCCCAGGAAAAAGAGTGATCAAGTCAAGGAATGAGGGAAGAAAGAGGAGGTTCTTGGAGTTGGGACATCATCATTCCAGGGGACATCTTTAAGTGAATGCCAAGATTTCTGTCTTTAAGAATTACATGGTAAATGCAGAAGAGACAGAAATCAGAATCCATGTTACTTACAATTTCCTGAGCACAGAAGAAGATGATCAAGGCCCAGGTGACTTTTGGTTTGTTATATCTTTCCTTTATTGTCTAATGGATTTGTGGTAAGCTGAGAAAAAATAACAGCTCAACTATACGAAGTATAAATTGGGGATGATTGGGTTCTGGGTAGAAATTAATTTGGACTCTGAATTCAGAATCAGGACAAAGTGAATCAGGAATATGTTGTTCATAGGGATCACATCAGATGATTAGTATTAGAAGAGAATGTGTGACTGTGGTGGAGCCTGTGGATTGTATCAGCTGTCACTTTGTGTTAGCAGACATCGCAACCAGAAAAACGTGAAAAGCTCCATGATATGTGTTGACTGTGAGGAGAGAGCAGATCAGTTCTTTGGGGAATTCAATGGTTCATGTCACTTAAGTGAATGGAGTGATACTCCTAACAACATTGGTGACTCTGAGGGGCTCCCCACTGTCCTGGTACCAATCACACATCTAAAAGAAAGATGAATGCAGTTTACTGAAGAGCATTACTTATATAGCTATATAAAATTCCATGAGTTTCATAATCATACTCAAGAAAGCGAGTTGTAAGATAAGAACTAGGGATGTAATGAACAACATGATGGCTATAGCTAACACTGCTGGATGATATATAGGAAAGTTGTTAAGAACAAATCCTAAAAGTTCTCATCACAGGGAGAAAAGCTTTTTCCTTTTCTTTTTGTTATATCTACACAAGAGAAGATAGATGTTGACTGAACCTGTTGTGATAATGATTTCACAATATATGTAAATCATATCAGCATGCTTTACATCTTAAATTTACACAGTGATATATGTCAGTTATTTCTCAATAAAACAGCCATTGGAGTTTGATAGAAGTGAAATATTTAACCTTTGAAATGAGAAAATAACATAATCCAACCTATGTCTTGGTGAACAGTGGTGGAGATTCACTCTGAGTTTTAGAAATAGATTCAGCGTGAAATATGCAAGCTTCACTGATAATAGCTCAGTACTCCTTGACCATGATCCAGAGGCTCAGCTGGACTCGGATGCACTTCTGAGTTCACTTACATGGTTATTGGCAGAATTCATTTCCAGAACTCAAATGAGATCCTTAGTTTCTATCTATCTGCTCGTGTAAGACCACTATGAGTTCCTTATCACATGGGCCTTCCAACGTGCCATCTTCTTTCATCAAAGTCATCAACAGACAGATTCTGTTAGCAAGATGGAAATCATATATATAGCCTAATTTAAAAATGCATGTCTTGCAAGTGCTTGGGCCTGGTGCACTGGGAAGACCCAGAGGAATCGGGTGGAGAGGGAGGGTGGGAGGGGGGATTGGGATGGGGAATACATGTAACTCCATGGCTGATTCATGTCAATGTATGACAAAACCCACTGAAATGTTGTGAAGTAATTAGCCTCCAACTAATAAAAATAAATGAAAAAAGAATGCATGTCTTGATTTTCCTGGTGGTTCAGAGGTTAAGACTCCATGCTTCCATTGCAGGGGAGCATGGGTTCAAGCCCTGGTCAGGGAACTAAAATCCCACATACTATGCAAACCAAAAAAAAATTAAAATTGGTATCACAGCGCTTTTGCTGTATTTTGTTTTTTGGAAGCAGTTTAGCTCATGCTCAAGGGAAGGGTACCTCATGGAGGTACCCTTGGAGTACCTAGTGTGTGGTAAGGAATTTGGCTGACTCTTGTCCCTAATTTCTGGGAGGTAACCTCTAAAGCCTTGGAATTACTCATTTGTTAGGAGTGTCTTGTTTTTCATCCCAGACCACTGCAGCCACACTTTATGCTATGAGGTGACTCATGTGGGCCCTAGATGATTTGTGTTAATAAGACAATTTAAGGTGAGGGCTGTCCATGCCCCAAAGACCAGCCATGTGATTCGAGGGTTGTGGCTTTCAGCCATGTTTATCAGTCTGGGCAGGAATGGGGAAGGATCTGGGTTCAGCCATGTGGTTAGTGATTCAGTAAATCATGCATATATAAGGGAGCCTCAATAAAAATTCTGGACACTGGACTTTAGGTGAGCTTCCTTGGTTGACAGTACTCCTGAGTACTATCACATGGTGTGGCTGGGAGGAGAGAATGGGGCCCAGGACTCTATGAGAGTCCTGTGTTTCAGTACCAAGTGGCCTTCATGTCTGACTTTTTGGGCACAAAAATCAGAACTTTGAAGATATTATTCCATGCTTTTTGAGTTCTGTTGTAGGTCATCTATCTTTTGTGTCTGGATGCTTTCATATTTCGTGTATTATAGTTTTAGTCTGATGTCCCTACCTAGAGATTTCCTGCTTGGAATTTGTTGGCATTCCTGAGCCTGGGGTTTGAAGAGTTTAATCAGTTTTGAAAATTTTCACTTTTAGATCTTGGGATACTGCTTCATTACTGTGTTTTTTCTTTGTTTTTGTTTTCAAATCTTCCTAATCAACTAATTTTTTTTTCTTTGCTACAGATGTATCTTGTATAGTTTCTGCTATTTTTTACATGTATTAAAAACATTATCTTGTAAATTTCAGATGTGGAGTCTGTTCAGAGTTGATTCTTATATTGGCTATGATGTTTCATGGTAATGTAGGACTGTTTTATTTGTCCTGATGTAATTTGCATATTATGCAAATGGGTAGATGCTAAAATACATATATAGAAAGATAGAATTTTGCTTGTAACTGAAATGTATTTGAGAAAAGTATATTGATGCAGGAGGTATGGTGAAAATTAGAATAACTTCTCTCATGTTTCTTCCATATTGATGAAAGGAATTCACATCATACAGGACTTTATTGTTACAGGAATTGCTGACACTGGAAGATGTGGCTGTGGAGTTCAACTGGGAGGAGTGGCAGCTCCTGGATTCTGCTCAGAAAGACCTATACTGGGATGTGATGTTGGAGAACTATAACAACTTGGTGTCGCTGGGTAAGGGTGACTCCCAGTGTCATTTATGAGGTGCCGAGTCACTGGACTTTTCTCTTTCACCTAATGAAAGCTTTGTAGTTCCTGTGGTCTTCCAAAGAGTTAGATTTTCTGTCCCTAGCAGAAACTAACACAACATTGTAAAGCAATTACACTCCAGTTAAAAAAGTAGAATCCAATAAAATGTAATATGCTTAATAGGAATCCAATAAAGTTAAAAATTCAGTAAATTTTAAACAATTAAAATGCAGTATTTTCCCGTCTTGACATACAATACCCCAGCTCTTGCATCTAAGTCCTCTATCATTTCTCACAATCAGGATATCAAGGTACCAAACCAGATATGCTCTCCAAGTTGGAACATGGAAAAGAACCATGCATAATAGAAAATGAAATGCAGAATAGAATTTGCCCAGGTGAGTGAGTTAGAATCAGCAAGGGAAGTGACCATCAAAGTCATATTTCAGGTCCTTCTAGAGGAGTCACAGCTGTGAGGGTGACTGAGGAGCCCCCTTAACAGCTGTTCCCCATATTTATCTCTCCAGATGAGAACTGTTTCTGGGCATTTAACTTTAAATATATTCCTTGTCTCTTTCTGGATATGATATTCATTTACTTCTTCATACATCTTTATAATTTTATACTGGGATTACATGGTAGATAATAAGAGCACCCCACACACCATGTCATTTTTTAAGTGCTTTCATCCCATACCAGTCTCATGAAATAATTTGTCATTTCCTTTTTTCTTAGGAATCGGGAAAGGTGACAGTTATTTGCCAGAGCACTCTAGAAACCAAAGATTTCTGAAGAGCATGCAACAGTACAGTGAACAGAATGCATTTAGAAAGGGTGTTCATCTGAGCAAAACACATTTCACCCTAATTCAAGATCGTATATTTGACTTACATAGAAAAGCTTTGGAATCAAGCTTAAGTTTAGTTAACCAGAAGAGAAGCTATGGAATAAAGAACCCTGTAGAGTTTAATGGGGATGAGAAATCCTTTCTACATAGTGATCCTGGACAGTTGTATTCTGGAATTATATTTCCTGAAAGTATAGAACACATCAGCACTCAATTCCAAGTCCTTAAGCGTCAGAGGACTCACAAAATAGAGAAATCTCTAGCCTCTATTGAAAGTGAGAAGCCATGCGGCAGGAATTCTCAGCTTATTTCTTGTGAAAGTGTTCATACTGGAGAGAAAACCAGTGGGTGTGATCCATGTGACAAATCCTTCTCCAGAAATGTCACATTAACTAAACATCAGAAAACTCAAACACAAGACACACTCCACTTAACAAGTGAGCCCAGAAAAGACTGTACTGTGAAGAGCAGCTCCCCTGTACATCACCAAACCTGCACAGGAGAGAAAGCCTACGTGTGCAGTGAGTGTGGAAAAGGCTTCACTATGAAGCGCTATCTGATTGCACATCAGCAAACTCACAGTGGAGAGAAACCTTACGTATGCGGTGAATGTGGAAAAGGCTTCTCCGGGAAGAGTAATCTCACTGTGCATCAGCGCACCCACACGGGGGAGAAACCCTATGTATGCAGTGAGTGTGGGAAAGGCTTCACCATGAAGCGCTATCTTGCTGTACACCAGCGAACTCATACCGGAGAGAGACCATATTTGTGCAGTGAATGTGGGAAAGATTTTGCTGTGAAGAGTAATCTCACTGTACACCTGCGATCTCACACAGGGGAGAAATCTTACATATGCGGTGAATGTGGGAAAGGCTTCACCGTGAAGAGTAATCTCATGGTACACCAGCGAACTCACACGGGAGAGAAATCTTACCGGTGTAACGAATGTGGAAAAGGCTTCACCACAAAACTCACTCTCGTTATACACCAACGAACTCACACAGGAGAGAAACCCTATGAGTGCAATGAGTGTGGTAAAGCCTTCAGTCAGAAGATATGCCTCATACAACATGAGAGGTGTCACACAGGAAAGACTCCCTTTGTATGTACTGAGTGTGGAAAATCCTATTCCCACAAGTACGGTCTCATTACCCATCAGAGAATTCACATAGGAGAGAAACCCTATGAGTGTGATGAATGTGGAAAAGCCTTCACCACAAAGTCAGTACTCAATGTCCATCAAAGGACTCACACAGGAGAGAGACCGTATGGGTGCAGTGATTGTGAGAAAGCCTTCTCCCACTTGTCAAACCTTGTGAAACATAAGAAAATGCACATCAGAGAAGTGGGTAGATCCAGTCAAGTTGGAAATGCCTTTAACAGAGAGTCCCAGATCATTACTTATGAGTGAACCACAGCCCCATTAATGCAATGATTGGGGAAATGCCTTCTGTGACAGCTAAGATTTTAAACATCAGTGTTTCTCGCTAAGCAGAATGTAATCATGGGATGACCTGTTACCAAATGGGGGACCATGAGGAGATGAAAGGATTTGCCCAAGAGATAAACCCAGTGAATATCGTGAATGCAGTAGTGCCTTAATGATCCTACCTCACATTTTCTGTTGGTGAAAATATGTTGGAAAAGCTCTTGATATATTCAGTGTGGAGATGCCTTGGGAAAAACTTTTTGACTTCATTAGATGTCTGAAAAGTATATATCCCATACACACTTGGACATATTCTGTAAATGCAGAGACTAGAAAAGTCATCAGTGGGAAGATAGACTTTATTATCAGGGATTGTCGTTGATCATCAGTGAACTCATTGTAGAAATATGATTTAGAAAAGAAAAAAGAAATATGACCATGGGAATGTCTTTCCCCAGAAAGAAGACCTCAGTGAGTGTCAGAGGTCACACCGGAGAAATATTTTTAAGAAGACAGTATATATTGCAAGATTTCAGTGAAGCATTCTGCCTCATCATTTGTCAGGGAATCATATAGAAATTAAAACTTTTAGGAACATGCTAAAGGTAAAGTACCTTTAGTTAAATATCAGTGGGCTTACAAAGGAATGAATTTTTATGAAAATGATGAATGTTTGAGTGCTTTTTGTTACAAATGTAACCTCATCAGATGATGCACCCGAGTCTTGTTTCTGATTGCCTCGTGAAAAATTCCATAGTTTTGTGATTTTTTTTAATGTGGACCATCTCCCAACTCTTATTGAATTTGCTACAATATTGCTTCTGTTTTATGTTTTTGGTTTTTTGCAAGGGATGTGAGATCTTAGCTCCCCAATCAGGGATCAAACCCACATGCCCTGCATTAGAAGGCAAAGTCTTAACCACTGAACCACCAGGGAAGTTCCATTAATTCCATAGTTTTAAATGAAAGTTGTTTGCTTTTCTTATCACTGATTTTTAGGTAGGCAAGCGTGTTCTGTGCCTACCCCCATATGTGATTAGCTCTTACTTTTCTTTGGCTCCAAACTAATTATAAGTATACTGATCTTTTTAAAAAAGGAAATGGAATAGGAACACAGATTTGCAGCTTGCTTAACTAAGTTTATAAATAAAACCAAATATTTTATAAAACCACCTTCAAAGTTTTTATAGAATGTGTAACTTGAAATCATTTTTAACTTATAAGAAAATGCAAAAGTAGTCCAGAGAATTCCCTTGTACCCTTTATGTAACTTATCCCGGTAAAAACATTTTATGTAACCATTAACTCTTAACCTTTGGAATTTAGATTTCACTAAATTTTTTACATGAATCTTTAAATAATTTTTTTGGAATTCTAAGCTGCTTTATTACATATGTAGATTTTGTGTAACTGCTATCTCCAGAATGTAAAACTTTCATCAACACAGACACCCCATGCCACATTTTTATGGTCACTCCTTCTATCCAAACCTACCTCCGGCAACCACGTGTCAGTTTTCCATCAATATAATTTTGTCATTTATGAAATTAAATTAATCCTTATAACTGAATCTTAAACATTATCTATGTTATATTTATACAAATTTATAATTTTTTATTAAAAAGGACCATGTAATTTTTTTATTTTTTGTTCCTCAGGAAATTGCTCTTAAGACTTTTTTTAGTTGAATTACTTTATTTTTATTACTGAGTAGTATATATTATTGGATGTACCAGTTTGTTTATCCATTCACTCTTCAGATAAGTTTGCATTGTTTCCTGGTTTCAACTTGTATAAGGAAAGGTGCTATAAATCTGCATCCAGGGTTTTGGATGGACATAAATTTTCATTCCTCTGTAATAAATATTCGGGTGTATGATTATTGGGACATAAAAAAAAGTTGTGTTTAGCTTTAAAAGAAACTACCAAACTCTCTTCCAGAGTGACTATACCATTTTACATTCTCACCAGCAGTGTATGATATCCACTTGTTCCACATCCTCTCTGGCACTTGGTATTTTCAGTATATTTTAGTCATTCTGCTAGCAACACATGATTCAGTTGTTCATCCTGACCAGCACTTGGTATTGTGATATGTTACATTACCCATTCTATTAGGTTTGTAGTCATATCTGATCTTGAGCTTGCATTTCCCTCATGGCTAATGATGTTCAATCCTGTTATTATTTATTATTGGACAACAGTGTTCATACCATTTGACTACTTTCACCATTTCTGCCCTCCCACCCCTCTTTCAGCCTCTGGCACACAATCTGTTCTTTATTATTTATAAGTTTGGTTTTCTTGGGGGGTTCTACAAATAAAAGAGATCATAGAATATTCAGCTTTCTTGGCCTGATTTATTTCACTTAGTATCCCTCAAGGTTGCAAATGGCAAGATTTCCTTCTTTTTATTGTTGAATTTCTTTATCCATTCATGTGTCAATGAACACTTAAAACTGTTTCCGTGTCATGGCTATTGTAAATAACACTGCTCTGAACATTGATTGTAACATCATATCTTTTCAAATTAGAGTTCTTAATTTTTTTCCAGATATATACCCAAATTGCTGAATCTTATGGTACTCCTATTTTTCATTTTTTGAGGAACCTGTGTACTGTTTTCCTTAGTATCTGTACCAATTACAGGCTTCTTCTTTCTTTTTATGTCTATATAGTGTTCATGAAGATCCATCCCATGATTTATTTAACCAATTACCTACTAATGTACACTCCTGTTGGTTTTAGTTACCTTTGACTGTATTACAAACGTACCTCCCTAAAAACATAATATCTGAAGACAACAAATATTAATTATTAATTCTCCAGTATGTGGATTGAGAGTTAAATTGTCTAGTGTGGGCTGTCCTGACTGGTGGCTACATGATCTAGATGGCTTTTTCCCACATATCTGGAAATATCATCCCTGAAATGGATGGGGTGACTTTTCACATAGTATCTCATCCCATGCCTAGCCTGGGCTCCACTACAATGTGTTAGGAGAGCTCCAAGAGAGTAGAACATGCTTCAGTGAGCAAGTCTTTCTTCCCTCTGCATCAAGCTTGCTATTTTCCCATGGGACACACTGACCAGAGTCACCATGCTGGGGCACTATCCAAAGGTATGAATGCAGAGGTGCAAGAGTAAGTTTATGTAGTGATCACAAGATTTCTTAGTTCCTTGAAACTGTCAAAATTGATGCCATAAATATCCTTGTGCATGTTTGTTCTCACAACGATAATTTCTGCTGAATTTCAATTCTTAAAGTTGATTGCTGGCTTTAGGAGAATGAAAAGTTTAAACTGAGCAATTGCAAGTTGTACTGCAAAGACATTTTGTTAATTTTTACACTCTAGATTCAGTCTTGCCCCCCTGAAAAGCACACTGAACATGATACCTAAAATTTATTGGAGTGGGTTTTTTTTTTTTTTTTTTTTNTTCCCTGCCCAGGGGTTGAATCATGGGTACCTGCATTGGGAGAACAGAGTCTTAAACACTAGACCATCATGTAAGTCCCTGGTAAGCATTTTTTGAACTAGAACTATGACAAACTTGATAATAACATCTCAATTCATTCAAGGCTGTGGATGTTGGACACCTCTGTTAATTACTATGCAAATGAGAAAAATGAGAGGCTAAGCCTGATCAGTTTGTTCAGTCGCTCAGTTGTGTTTGACTCTGATCCCATGGACTGCAGCATGCCAGGCCTCCCTGTCCATCACAAACTCCCAGAGTTTACTCAAACTCATATCCATTGAGTTGGTGACGCCATCCAACCATCTCATCCTCTATCGTCCCCTTCTCCTCCTGCCCTCAATCTTTCCCAGCGTCAGGGTCTTTGCAATGAGTCAGCTCTTCACATCAGGTGGCCAAAGTACTGGAGTTTCAGCTTCAATATCAGTCCTTCCAATGAGGATCCAGGACTGATTTCCTTTAGGATGAACTGGTTGGATCTCACAGGAGAGAAACCTTACATATGCAGTGAATGTGGAAAAGTCTTCATTGAGAAGAGATGTCTTATTGCACACCATTGAACTCATACAGATGAGAAACCCTTTATATGCCGTGAATGTGGGAAAGGTTCACCTTGAAGAACAGTCAGCACACATCAGCAAACTCAGAGAAGAGAAGCTATGCACGTGCAGTGAATGTGGGAAAGGCTTTTCAGTGCAGCACTGCCTCACCATACGGCAGCAGACTCATACAGGAGAGAAACCCTATGTGTGTCGTGTCTGCAGAAAAGGCTTCACTATGAAGGATGATCTTGTCGTTGTACATCAGTGCACTCATACTACTTTATATGCAGTGATTGTGGGAAAGGCTTTACTGTGAAAAGCCAACTGATTGTACATGAGTGAACTCATACAGGGGAGAAATCCTACGTATGCAGTGAATGCGGAAAGGCTTCTCCAGCCAAGGCCCACCTCATCAGACATCAATGAACTCACACTAGAGAGAAACCCTACATATGCATTGATTGTGGAAAAGGCTTTGTTCAGAAAGGCAGCCTCATTGTATATGAATGAACTCACTGTAGAGAAACCCTATGTGTGCAGTAAATGTGTGGCAAAGGCTTGTTCTCAAAAAGGAAGCTTAGTGCACAGCTGTGAACTCATACTGGAGAGAAACCACATATATGTAATGAACACAGCAAGGGCTTAGACTTCCCTGGTGGCTCACATGGTAAAGCGTCTGCCTACAACGCGGGAAACCCAGGTTCAATCCCTGGGTTGGGAAGATCTGGAGAAGGAAATGGCAACCCACTCCAGTATTCTTGCCTGGAAAATCCCATGGACGGAGGAGCCTGGTAGGCTACAGTCCATGGGGTTGCGAAGAGTCGGACACGACTGAGCAACTTTGCTTTCACTTTTCACTTTCATGCATTGGAGAAGAAAATGGCAACCCACTCCAGTGTTCTTGCCTGGAGAATCCCAGGGACGATGGAGCCTCATGTGCTGCAGTCTGTGGGGTCGCACAGAGTTGGACATGACTGAAGCAACTTAGCAGCAGCAGGAGAAGCGCCCTCTGTGTCAGACAAGGGGCTTTGTTGCAGTAGAAACTGGTGTTGGCCATCTGTATCCAGCAGGATAGAGAGGTGGTGTGCTATGATCAAGTGGGATTCATCCATCCCAGGATGGATCTGCAAAGCAGTCATGTGATGCACCAAGTTAACAAGACAGAGGAAAAAAAAATCCTGATCATTACAAGAGATGCAGAAAAAGCACTGAACAAAATCGAGCATACACTGATGATAAAGACTCTTAATAAAGCAGGTGTAGAGAGTGGTACCTCCACATCATAAAGTCATTTGATGGCCAGCCCACCCAAGAGGACTGCTCTCTTGATTTCTGTGCATCTCCTGCCTGATCAGTCCATGCATAACCTCCACCCACTCATATGACTGACCTTCGCTTTAAATGATGGAGCCCCAATCAGTAACTGTCTATGTGTTTGCCCCCAACCCATGGTCCTCAGCTGGTTATTGATCTACTATGATAGTGGATCAGTGAGAAACATCTCCCCATGTTGGTCCTTAATATGAGGGACTGTGAGGGGCATTTCGCTCCACAGTTTCCCTGGAAACCCCTCAGCTAACCTGAGGTCAATTTCCCCTGTAACCAGGTACTTGCTTCTCCCCCAGTAGCAAAGACTGTGGCCATTTTCTGTCCTGCCCAGTGTCAGCAGCACACTGCAGGGTGTTGCTCCAGGGTCTTGCTTCAGGCATGAAAGATTCCCTATCCATTAAACCACTGATGTCTCTGTCACTGACTCCAGATTCTTTCTTTGGTCTCAAGGCTGGGCTTGCAGGCCTGTGGCATACAGTCCAACCTTCATATATGACAAGCCACTGTTAAGCTATGGTTTTTCCAGTAGTCATGTATGGATGTGAGAGTTGGACCATAAACAAGGCTCAGCCTTGAAGAATTGATGCTTTTGAACTGTGGTGTTGGAGAAGACTCTTGAGAGTCCCTTGGACAGCAAGGAGATCAAATCAGTCAATCCTAAAGGAAATAAACCCTCAATATTCATTGGTAGGACTGATGCTGAAGTGAAGCTCCAATAATTTGGCCACCTGTTGTGAAGAACTGACTCATTGGAAAAGACCCTGATGCTGGGAAATATTGAAGGCAGGAGGAGAAGGGGACAACAGAGGATGCAAT